GGCCCCAAAACAGAGCCCTGGGGAACACTGCTTGTGACCGGGCACCAACTGGATTTAACTCCACTCACCACAACTCTCTGGCCTCGGCTACCCAGCCAGTTTTTTATCCAGCGAAGGGTACGCCTGTCCAAGCCATGAGCCGCCAGCTTCCTTAGGAGAATGCTATGGGAGACAGTGTCAGAGGCTTTACTGAAGTCCAGGTAGATGGCATCCACAGCCTTTCCTTCATCCACTAGGCGGGTCACCAGGTCATAAAAGGAAATCAGGTTGGTCAAGCAGGACCTGCCTTTCATGAACCCATGCTGGCTGGGCCCGATCCCCTGGTTGACCTGCACATGGCTGTTGAGCATACTCAAGATGAACTGCTCTATAATCTTCCCAGGCACTGAGGTCAGGCTGACAGGCCTGTAGTTCCCTGGATCCTCCTTCTGGCCCTTCTTGTAGACGGGCGTCACATTAGCAAGCCTCCAGTCATCAGGGATCTCTCCTGTTAACCAGGACTGCTGATAGATGATGGAGAGTGCCTTGGCAAGCTCCTCTGCCAGCTCCCTCAGTATATTGATATTAAAAATGCTGCCTCCAGTATATAATGAAGTAAGCACTGACCAGAAGAAACAAATTTCAAATCCCTGATCAGTTGAAAAAGTCTGAACTCCTAGCGGTCTGCTTCTTTTTGTTTGATTTTTGTTTAAAAAAAGTTTATCTCCATTGTTGAGATGCTTTAGAGCTGAGTATTTTTAGTCTTATAAGCAATGTATTTCCAATTTCTATCTCTAAAAATCTATGTAGCTGAGAGAAGCTTCATATTTGTTTCCATATTAACTATATAAAAGAGCAAAAATTAGAATTATGAAATTATTTTTGAAGGGAATTTGTATAGCAAAATGGAAACTTGAGGAAAACTTAAGTTTTTACCTCTAACGTCTTAAAGATCTATAGACCTTAAGGAAATGGCATATGGTATCGGTTGTGTTGGAGCTAGTATTTGATAGGAGATAGGATTTTTTGAGTGTGCTGTCAGAGGAATGCATGCAACACTTGTGAACCAGAAGCCTGAGAGAGTTGTGGAAGAATACTATAGCTTTGTGTTACTCTTCATTTGTCTTCTGTCATAAATAAGGCAGTGTTTTGGCACTGCATTACATTTACTCAGCTTATGTAAATAACAGTCTCTCCTTTAAAATAAAAATCATTATTCACAGAATGCCGATGTTGGGTTGAAACCTGTGTGGTATGGCTCCAGAGTCCTGATCGAGGGTGCAGATGCAGAGACCCTGACAGAGGGAGAGGTGGTTACATTCATAAATTGGGGCAATATTATCATCACTAAATTAAACAGGTAATAAATACTGGGAGATGAAATGATTATTTGCTTTTCAGCTTTTTGTAGCTTTTTATAATGGGTAGCTTGAAACAGTAAAACATTAATGGTTGTCCATGTATGTCCATTCTGTGATTATGCATATAAATACCCACTTTGAAATATGTCAGAAAGCAGCATTTTAGCATAGAGCATATTTTACTGTAGATTCAGGTCAGAAATCACCAGTCAGTCCTGATACTGTGTGTCCCTCTCATCCAGTATTCTCCAGTATCTGTGGTAGTATTTCTACTGTGAAACAGCTTTTTCAGACAAAAAAAAAAAAAAAACCCAAAAACAAAACAAACACTTGGTATTTTAACAACTTTCACCCTGTAACAAATACCTGCTTTTGTATACTAAAAACCTACACCTATCACAATTTCAGTTGCCAAACTGTTAAGGTGGGGGAAAGAGACCATTAATGTCATCATAGTATCTTTGAAATGGTTGTATTGAGACAGTGGCAGAATGGGGTGAGCTGGGATAGAGAATATAAAACAAATAGGTAGAGATTTTTTTTCCCATGTTCTTTACTGTCTCTCTATATTTAAGAAATCAAAATTAAAGGAGAACTTCAACAGGAGTGAATATACACTTTCATTTCCTGCATGACTCCCACACTTCAAAAATGAACTCTGAACACTTGTTTTTTCAGTTAATCTATTTATGGGCTGTAGTATTATATGAGAACAAATCACTTAAGCTTTACTCTTATAATTTCTGTTTTCCTGTAGAAATTCAAGTGGAAAAATTGTGTCCATTGATGCCAAGTTGAACTTAGAGAATAAAGACTTCAAAAAAACGACTAAGATCACTTGGTTAGCAGAAACTCCACGTGCACCACTCATCCCAACTGTCTGTGTTAATTACGAGCATCTGATCACTAAGCCAGTTCTAGGTAAAGATGAAGACTTCAAGCAATATATCAACCGAAATAGCAAGGCAAGTTATCTTTTTGTCCCCTTTATTTCACAAAGCTTAATGTTTGGGGTGGGGTTTTTTTTTGCCACCACTATTTCTAGTTACTTTTTTTTAATGTTAAGATTTCATTTGTCGAACAAGTAAATCATGTGCTGGTGTATCTAGTTTCCATGTTTTCCATTTAACATGTCATAATTACAAAATTAAAATTTGACTCATGTTTTTTCTCAGGCATTACCTGGCTTTTACACATCTGTGACCAATAGTTTGAGTTTTTGTCTCGATACATTGTTATGACATGGCATCTTCTTGCCAGTGCTTGTTCTGCTGCCCCTGGAATTAACTAACATTTCAACACTTCCAAAATCAGAAAATCACCACTATCCTTCAACAGCTCTACTGTATTTCTTACTATTTCTTGTGCTCTGTTAGATTTGGACTGATTTCTTTTAACACTTACAGCAAGAAGAACTGATGTTAGGTGATCCTTGCCTTAGGGACTTAAAAAAGGGGGACATCATACAACTTCAGAGGAGAGGATTCTTTATTTGTGATCAACCCTATGAGCCAGTGAGGTAAGCTATCTGAGAATGGCCTAAGCAGACTTCACGGAATTTGCTTTAGCTTGCTGTGTTTTAATGTTTTTACACATGCTGTGGAATATTTCTGTGGACTGGCATGGCTTTTAGCTTGTACGTTCCTACGTCTTCAAACTGTCTAAGCCAAGCACATGGTACTTTTAGTGCACCCCAGCTAACTTGGACTTTGTAAAGAGATCATGGTTTCCTTGTGATTCTAAGTATATAAATTAAGGAACAATGTTACGGAATAGAACAGATATTTGCCCAATTAGAGTGTGCACATACTAGCAAGCTACCAAATTAGTAAATTACACTGTATTTCAGCATAATATTATAACATAAAGAAAGCTTGTACATAACAGGAATCAATGCAGACCCCCAATTACGCAAATTCAGGTAACTACAGTTGTGTACAAAGATAAACTTGCAGTTGTGCCAGAGCATCTTGTAGAAAGAGTAGAATATTTCTTTCAATAGATGTTTCATATGTATCCTGTATTTCCTTTATTGTTGTGTTTTCTATAAATCCTTTTATAGTCCTTACAGCTGCAAAGATGCCCCATGCATTTTGATTTACATCCCTGATGGACACACTAAGGAAATGCCAACATCTGGATCAAAAGAGAAGACCAAAGCTGAAACTGCAAAGAAAGAGGTAAACTTGTGTTTTAGAAAAGTGCCATAAAATGCATTACTGTACATCTGTCAGTGTACAAGATTTATCATGCTGAATACTTGGTGGTTTTTTGTTTGTTTGTTTGTTTGTTTTTTAGGCTAGTTCAGCTGAAAAAGGAAAATCTGCTCCACTTGTTGATAACTCTACTCCAACCTGTACTGTATCTGAAGGTCATCTGGTCATTTACAATAGGGTGTCTGCACAGGGTGATATAGTTCGTGACTTGAAAGCTAAGAAGGCAGCAAAGGAAGATATTGATAAAGCTGTGAAACAGTTGCTGGCCTTGAAAGCAGAATACAAAGAGAAGACGGGCCAGGAGTATAAGCCTGGAAATCCTCCAGTATCTGTAACTGAACAGTCTTCAAAGCCTGAGACCTCTGGTACCTTGGACAGTAAAGCGCTGTATGATAAAGTAGCAGAGCAAGGAGAAGTGGTCCGAAAACTGAAAGCTGAGAAAGCAGCTAAGGTGGCTGATTAAACTAGTATTCTTTTGTTTGGGTTTGCATAGCCCATTGTCCTCTGTGGAAGTGAATGGGTGCTTATGGTTCCATGTTTTCATAGTGATCATCATTTGGACTGGGCTCTGGTCTGTCAAGACTTGTGTTTTCCCATACTTGTCTTTTAGCTAGACGTGTATGACAAAGTTTGTGTTAACATGCATACTGATGCAAGTAAATTCCTATATTTCTTAAACTGCTGTTCTGAAATGTGGACAAGATTCACCCCACAGCATGAGTTGATTAAGTATACAACTCTGGTCCTTGGGGTTGAAATGTCCTGCAGTATTTATTTATTTATTTAAGTAAATATGGTCAAATTATGTGACTTCATAGGATTGACTTGTTGCTATTTAGGCCTTAAAAACAAAACAAAAAGAAAACAGAAAGGAAAAAAGAAAGTAAAGGTCCAAATACTACAGATATTTTTGAAACCTCTTCCTGTCTGGAGCTGAGCATAGAAAACATAGCTACTAGTAGCTGTTTTCTTTCTAATGCAGAGCAAGAAAAGATGGGAAATAACATGCTTTGCCTGGTGGTTAAATACTGTTCATAAGTGTCTTGGTGGCACCATAAAATCTAAATAAATGGGAAGACCTAAACTAATTTATTGTTATAATTTTATTTAGGACTATTAGGGTTGTATATCCCTTAATAGGAGTTACTTTAACAAAGTAGAAAAATAGAAAAAACTTATCTGAACAACTCTACTAAGTAGTTAAGAAAATGCATAAACTGCAGGTCTTTTCATAAAAGTATTTAAGATGCACTTCAGAGTCTTATGTCTTTATGTCTTTGTTCCTCCCTCTTTCTGCCCCTTCCTTTCTCTTTCAGGATGAGATAGGTGCTGCTGTGGAGGTCCTTTTATCCCTAAAGGCAGAATATAAACAACAGACAGGCCAGGAGTACAAACCCGGATGCCCACCTGTGGTCTTTGTCCCTCCTCAGTCTTCTCCTGTTTCTACTCTTCCATCCCCATGTCCAGTAGACAGCAAATCTCTATACAGCAAAGTAGCTGAACAAGGCGAAGTGGTCCGCAAACTTAAATCGGAGAAAGCTTCAAAGGTGTAATAGCAGTGAATACTTCTGAGTGGAACAATATTTTCAGTTTAGACTAAAACCTAGTTACAGGTTTTGTGAAACTTGAGGAACAAAATATAAGCAAGTACTTTCAAGGTCCATGACATGCTTTCCCAAATTCTCTTAAGCTGTATGGCTGACTTAATGAGTTCTGTGATAGTGCATGGAGAACCTGGAAAATAAACAGCAAGTTCTTTTTTTAGTGATACAAGATAAGTGAAACAGAATATAGGCAGTAACTTGAAAAAAGGGCTGTAACTTGAGAGCTAGAATAGCAATAATAAATTTGGTGGTAATTTGATAGTGGCGAGGGAACCATTCTTTATTCAGAATCTGAGTATTTGCTGCCAGTCTCCAGTGTACAAAGTCACGGACTGCTGTACTACAGGGAGCTAAGTCGCGTAAATGGGAAGTTTTCATGGCACAGAAATCAGCCCTTACGTATACTGCCGGATTAGGTCCTTTGATGTGCAGCTTGAGTATTCTGGCTAAAAAGTTTTACCACAAAACTCAATAATGACAACTTACACTAACAAGTTAGCTCTAGAAGTTTTGCTACGTTAGTGCCATTGTGGTAAAGGTTATGCTATCTTAGCTATTGTGTTGCATCTCTTGTTTCTATCTTTATCTGCAACTGCTGTTTTTCCTTTCTTGCTTCAGGAACAAATAGATGAGGCTGTGAAAATTCTTTTAAGTCTGAAAGCAGAATATAAACAAAAGACAGGTCAAGAGTACAAGCCTGGAAATCCACCTTCAGTTCCTCCTTGTATACCTTCTACACTTCCATCTTCTGTATGCTGCAGTAACTTGGCACCCTGTAGCTTAGTGGATGGCAAAGCACTTTATGATAATGTAGCTGAACAAGGGGAAGTGGTACGCAGACTCAAAGCAGAGAAAGCTTCCAAGGTATAATAGTAAATAGAGAGTAAGCAATTGTAATTCTTACGACATTTTTGCCACTGGGGGGGAAATCTTTCACCAAGTAATGATTGAACAGTGTACTAAACTCCTTCATGTCCGGGTCATAGCTTAGCCATCAAACTTGCATGGTCTGATAATGCCATACAAGACTACTCTGATGCTGGATACTTGACTCTGAGATACAAATTCTAAATTTGACTGGTGTGGAAAGTCAAACTTAACCTCTCACATCTAGATGAATAGGCACAAGCATGGTAGATGTAAACCCTGCAGAAATTTTTAATGTATTTTGCTTTTTCTTGCTGTATTTGGGACAAGTGAAGAAAAAAAGTATCTAGTGTGCTGCAAGAATAGCAAGACTTTTCAAAACTTAACAAATTCAGTGACAGTTGTAGAAAAGAACATGAGACAAACCTGTATGTTTTTGGGAGCTGCTGGTTTTTTCTACCTATATTTCTACTTTGCAGAATTTGTTTTGGCATTGGGTTTGTGGTTGGTTTGGTTGGGTGGGGTTTGTTTTTTTTTTTTTCTTTTTTTGAAAAAGCCCTTTTCTAAAACAGTTTATTGTATTTTTCAGTGTAGATTCTCCTATTAACAGGTTCTGGGTGGCCAGGTGGGCTAGGGGAACATTCTGGTACAATGTGACAGCTCTCAAACATACTCGTGTTGCTTGGGGGAGAGCTATTACTTGAGTCCTCCCTAATTATGAACCACTCTTTATTGCTCAATGGAAATTTTATTTTCTTAGCCTGAAAATCAATGCTTCTTGTCAATTCGCTCTTTAATTCTCACCAGTACATCTTGCTATTTGTCCTCCACATAGGATGAAATAGATGAAGCAGTAAAACTCCTTCTTTCTCTAAAAGCTGACTACAAGGAAAAGACTGGGCAGGACTACAAGCCAGGACATCCACCAGTAGCTCAAGGTGCTTTGCCCCAAGCATCAGACACAGTACCCAGTGGTCCAGACACACCTGAAGCTAAAGCGCTCTTTAGCAAAGTAGCTCTTCAAGGAGATGAAGTTAGGAAATTGAAATCAGAAAAAGCAGAAAAGGTAAAAACATACTGTAATATATGTATATATATCTAAAAATCTATTTTAAATTCATTGTGATTATGGGAATTAGAAATGTACATGTAGAATAGGCAGCATTTGAATTCTGAGACCTGAAATGTGCTTTAAAAATTATTTGTGTCAGATATGGTCCTTAAAATGTTAATGCATTTAAGTATTGGCTTTTGCAGATTTTTCCCCCAACGCTGTGTGGGTATCCACAATACCATACATAGATCCATTTTATTTTTTTGCTAGAGCCGTTTTATTGCTGTGATTTCTATATGAATTTATCTTTATTATTTTGTTCTTCAAGGAAAAGATAGATGCAGCTGTTAAGGAACTTCTTCAGTTGAAGGCCCAGTATAAGTCTGTTGCAGGAGTTGACTATAAACCAGTTTCTGCTAGTTGCGCTGATGACAAAGACAAGAAGAAGAAAGAGAAAGAGAACAAGTCTGAAAAGCAGAGTAAGCAACAGAAGCAAAATGATGGCCCAAAAAAAGAACCTTTGCAAGGACAGAGTGGTAATGAACTTTCCTCAAACGGACCAGGAGAGGGTCAAGGCCCTAAAAAGCAAACCAGGTAAAGATGTGATCTTTACTCTCTCTATTTGCTAGAAACCTCAACTTTTTACCTCTATTCAGAGTTTTACAGGTTTCTCATTTCACTCAAAAGCGTGGACATTTGCAAAATAACTGTGTTAATTTTCATATTTAGGATCAATCCAAAAGCAAGTTACCAAAGTTTATTTAGTGTCAGTTGTACCTCAGCATTCTAGTGAGGAAAATTCTACCTAGCCTGTTGAAAGCATAAAGCAGTGTGCACACTCTGTTACTGTGGGTTCTATTACTGTCATTGAGAACTTGCTATACTTCTTTATTTGCTTCTGCAAATGTGCTGCTGTATCTTGTTCAGTATAAACCCTGGAGAAAAAAAACCCTTATGCTTATTTCATTGTACCAGGGTTTCCAAAATATTTACTGCGATGTCCTGGTTTAACTCCAGCCAGTGACTGAGCACCATGCACTCGCTTGCTTGCTCACTCCCTGACCCCAGTGGGATTGGGGGAGAGAATTGGAAGAGTAGAAGTGAGAAAACTCATGGGTTGAGATAAGAACAGTTTAATAAATGAAATAAAATAAAATAGTAATAACAATAATAATAAGAGTATACAAAGCAAGTGATGCACAATGCAGTTGCTCACCACCTGCTGACTGATGCCCAGCCGGTCCCTGAGCAGTGGCCCCCCAGCCAGCTTTCCCCTAGTTTATATACTGAGTATGATGTCGTATGGTATGGAATATCCCTTTGCCCAGTTGGGGTCAGCTGTCCTGGCTGTGCCCCCTCCCAGCTTCCTGTGCATCTCCAGCCTTCTCAGTCAGTGGCGCATGAGAAGCTGCAAAGTCCTTGACTAGTGTAAGAAGTACTTAGCAACAACTAAAACATCGGTGTGTTATCAACATTATTCTCATACTAAATCCAAAACGCAGCACCATACCAGCTACTAGGAAGAAAATTAACTCTTACCCCAGCCAAAACCAGGAGATGTGAGTACCATGAGCAGTATGTAGCCCAACCCAGAGCAAGGCACTGCTGTTCTGGACAGTGGAACTCTCCAGCGATGATTGCTGTGCATCCCCTCTCCTGCTCCCACCCTGAAAGTTTAGAAGTCTTTCCACAGCATGTATTATGCGGCACTATTTATTTCCTTTTTCAGATACATAAATAACATGTTAGAGACAGGGATGTGGTTATTTTGTATAGAAGTTATGCCAGAAAAATGCATTTTTCACCCTTAAAACTTCTCAGTTTGTAGAGATATAAAAACTTTACTTCTGTCTACTGTCACTTAGCTCTGGTGAATTTAGCCTTCTTTAGTATCTCGTAGTTTTACTAGTTATCTTTATTTTGGTGGTAGGGTCAGTTTTCTGTCTTGAACAGTGTGACTGACATTCACAGGAATGGTGAATTCAAGTTGCATATGTTTCCTGAAATTGTAGCAACCGGCTAGGTAAGGAATATTTAAGATGAGGAGTAAGACAGCTTATGTACAGGTCTGGTTAGTTTTAGGTTCTTATTGGAGGTGCTTGAGCTTTTTTAGTGCATCATCATGAGGTTCCTTGATGCAACCATGGTGAGAATTAGAAGGATTCAAACAGTAGAAAAGAAACGGAGCTGTTTTTATGAAATGCTGTTGTTAGCCAAGGTAAGGAAATGCTAGCAATTCGTACTAGCCAATGCATACTGAAGTCTAAGAAAAAAATTTGGGAAAGGTTAGCTTCATGAAGTAAAATTAAAATATTCTGTTCCATGCCCCCCTTTTTCTGCCGACACCCACCCCCCTCACGCCCCCCAAAAAAAGAAAAAAGGTTAGGATAAATTTCACTGGTAAATGCTGTACAGCACAAATCTGGTTCTTTTCTAATACCGTAGGCTGGGTCTAGAAGCTAAAAAAGAAGAAAATCTTGCAGACTGGTTCTCTCAGGTAAGTGCACATCAGTTTGAATTAAAGAATCAATTCATTCTCATATAAATAAAAAATCTATTTTGGATTCATATCTTATCTTGTATTTCTGGGGTTTTTTGTGGGTGGTTTGTTTTGGGTTTTTTTATATACAAAACAAAGTACTTGCTCTTTCTATTTCTTACATTGCTATCATGGTCTTAAATAGAAATGCCTGGACTGAAGAGCTGAATAAATTTAGGAAGCTGTAAAAAGGATGAGCATCAACCATTTCACCCTCTCCTCCCCTTATATATTTATATATAGGATTTTCTTAAATCATGTATGAATTCCTCTTTCATTAAGAGTGCAAAACCTCAGGGAAGTGATAGGAATTTCATAGACTTGGGAGTTTTATTTCACCTCAAGATGATGTATAACGTAAGTTAGTACCTGTTATGGAATGAATTTGCTGTCTCATGAGGTTCAAAACAACCAGAGTAGAGATGATTAGTTTAGATTAGCCTATTTATGAAAGACTGCAAATAGATACCAGGGGTGTACATTGCTTCTCTTTACTATAATTTTTGCATATACCCTAAGGAATAAAAATCTTTTCTGACGTGAGCTAGAGACAGTTCTTACAAAAGTGCAGTTTGTTGGTACCTGGAAATTAGCTACTGTCTCTTACTTGGATTCATGAAATTCAGTTTTAGTTAAGTGTTTATTATTCAGATTTATTATTAAACTTAATGTTCCTGCTTAATGTTCTCTAATTATAGGTAACTAAAGCAATCTCAGAGCGTATCCTTGTTAACTTCTTGAGCACAAAGACTTTTTAATAGGAGACTTTTCTTGAATTGCATGCCACACACTTGAATTACTGAATGTTCTTTGTGTATGGAATTGAAACTTCAGTATCTAAATCATCTTTTGAAAGGTGATCACAAAATCAGAGATGATTGAATACTATGATGTGAGTGGCTGTTATGTTCTTCGTCCTTGGGCTTATGCTATTTGGGAAGCTATCAAGAACTTCTTCGATGCAGAGATCAAGAAACTTGGAGTGGAAAACTGTTACTTCCCCATGTTTGTGTCCCAGGCTGCCCTAGAGAAAGAGAAGACTCATATTGCTGACTTTGCTCCTGAGGTACACTTCAAAACATTATTTCAATCTGAATACAAGAAAATCCAACCACTTAGTCTGCAGATGAGTATGAAAGTAAATTTTTTTTCAAACTTGTTTTGTTTGATTTTTTTTTTAAATACACTGCCCCCCCCCCCCCCCCCCCTTTGTTTGTTTTCCCATCCTTTAGGTTGCTTGGGTCACAAGATCCGGGAAAACAGATCTGGCTGAACCAATTGCTGTACGTCCCACAAGTGAAACAGGTAGACCTCTTTTCATGCAGTTTGGCTGTAGAGAAAACAGTTACAGCTATAGTGTAGCTGACAGACAAGCATCCCGTTTGAAAAGTGGAAACCCATTTTTTAGAATGTTTTCTGTAACTCTGTATCAAAATTTCCTAAATTTGCTGCTGCTTATAGCAAATGTCACAACACTATGTTCCCTTAAGTGGACTTTTCTAGGAAATGTACACTCTAGGAACTTTTCCATTAATATCCTGAAGACTGACTTGCTTTGACTGAAAAACACATTTGGTTGGTTTATATTGTTTATAAGAAAATTTCTTCATCTCATAATTCACTTCAGTTTTGCATGTTCTTTGACTATAGCTGTGAAACTAGCTTTTACTAAAATTTCCTGTGAGTAATTTAAACAAACATTTTAAGGCCTAAGGCTGGATGAGTTTTAAATTGAATCAGGTATGGTATAGCATCGTGAAATCTTGAGGTCCATGAATTTTTATTTGTGAACCTAGATGTATTTATATACTCTAACCAGTGACTCAAACATAGTGTGATTAGATATTAAGCTTTGCATTGCACTTGACCAGCAGCAAGCAAGCGATTTTGCAGAGACACAGGTCGAAGTGAAAGTACTCCTTTCATTGAAAATATTATGTGTTAAGATAGAAAATGTGTTTCAAAGAGAATTAAACATAAAAGCATAGTTCTCACAGCAGAGAATGTTAAGCTTATATGTAGCAAAAAGAAAGGTTTGGCATAAACTGGCTGTGTTGTGCAAACACCCAAAGCTGCTTTCTTTTTACAGTCATGTATCCTGCCTATGCAAAGTGGGTGCAGTCACACAGGGATCTCCCTATCAAGCTTAATCAGTGGTGCAATGTTGTGGTATGTCTGTACACGATTTCTGAGTAACTATTGTATCGTAAGTGCAGTGTAGGGCAATTATTCTATGTGGACACGGCATGATGATACTGATCACAGCACCTATTTCATGGCAAAAGTATGAATGTGGTTTATGTGATTTGTTTTTCTCACTGTTTTTAATAAAACATACTTTATCAACGTGTGTTGATTATATTGTTTAAGTAGAAATATGTGAATAGTTGACTTTTTATCTTTTATGCAGAATTTTCTAATACTTATTTATAAACATTATTTTTAACAATAATTTGACACTTGAGTGTTAATCATGGTGTTCAATTTCTTTTATTTCCCCCCTCCAGCGTTGGGAGTTCAAACATCCCCAACCTTTCCTCCGCACTCGTGAGTTCCTTTGGCAAGAGGGTCACACAGCATTTGCAACGTATGAAGAAGCAGCAGAGGAGGTAAAAAGCAGATGCGCTGGTGCTTTTGCTTTCAGAAAGTTACCTTACTCCACAGCAACACAAATCTTTTTACTAGGACCTGGTAGAAATATGTCTCCTTTTCTTTGGGAGGCCTCATGAAAATGCCAAGTGTACTAGAACCTGGTTTTTTCTCAGATGTAATCCATGTCTGAGGCTTTAGCCTCTTCAAACAATATGGGTTAGGGAGTTTGAAGAGTGTGATATATAAAGAATGCTTTCCTTAAAAACCATTTTCCTTAAAAAACCTTACAAAACTGTTTTCCTTAAAAATGTAAATAATGCGTTCATATGTTAACTGCTACAAATTTTAACACTTCCTTTGCCCAAAAGATGGATGTTTCATTGAGTATCATGGTGTATCTTTATTTACTTAGCAGATGTTCAAACTTTCAGGTGGAAACTAGAAGTCGGTATAGGTATTGGACTGGCGTTTCTGCAGTGACTCTTCTTGTTTTCTGTCATGGTTTATAGCTATTGCTATTTGATTCATAGAAAATAGCAGTCAAAGTTTAAAGCAGTTGAAGAAATTTTGTTTTTTAATCACAATCTTGAGAAAGTGTTAAATTTTTAAGATTTTTAGACTCTGTCATATAAAAATATTTCATGATTTAGCAAATGCAAAATACTGAGTGATACTTAAGACAGTATGTTCACCACAGGTGATGCAGATACTTGATCTGTATGCTCAAGTGTACGAAGATCTCCTAGCAATACCTGTTGTGAAAGGAAGGAAGACAGAGAAGGAGAAATTTGCTGGGGGTGATTATACAACCACTGTAGAGGCATTTATATCTGCCAGTGGAAGAGCTATCCAGGTATTTATCTATTAGAAGAGAATATTTTTTTCAGTAAATACAGTAAGATGAAAACCTTAAACTGATGTTAGATAGATTTAACTTTCCATTGAGTAGAATTTTCTGTGTGCAACTATTTCAGGGAGCAACATCACATCATCTAGGGCAGAATTTCTCAAAGATGTTTGAAATTGTATTTGAAGATCCCAAGAAACCAGGAGAAAAACAGTTTGCTTATCAGAATTCCTGGGGCATTACAACTCGAACTATTGGTGTAATGACAATGATTCATGGAGATAACATGGGATTGGTGCTCCCACCTCGAGTAGCCTGTGTTCAGGTGTGTAAAACTGCCTTAAACTACCATTTTGTTTCCTTTCCTATCTTGGAATTCATGAGCATTTCATATCGGGCACCTGGAATACTTAACATAGGATAGGAGGTGTCTGATTACAGAGCGTGCTGTATAAAGTTAATACAAATCATTAGGGTGCTTGTGGTGGACAAGCTCCCTTTAATAGTCCATCTATTTAAAATATTTTTATCTGTATCATTTGGATGAAAAGGAAAATGTATCCTTTACTTCTGAAAACTTGAAAGAAATTGCTTGGATAAAGGGCCACAATATTGTTTTTAAGTTTTTATAATAACTAGGAGCTAATTTTCTTATAACATAAAGTACATGTCATGTTATATTGCAGGTTGTAATTATACCCTGTGGTATTACAAATTCCCTTTCTGAAGAGGACAAAGAGGCTTTATTGAACAAATGTAACGAATATCGCAATAGGCTGCTTAGTGTTAATATCCGTGTACGGGCTGATTTAAGAGACAACTATTCACCTGGTTGGAAGTTCAACCACTGGGAACTTAAGGTACATTTCTTTCCAGGAGGTGTTTTGACGCTTTTACGTGGGGTATGTATGAAGCATGTTACGTGTGCCTGGTATTCTGAAGGCAAATATTTTCTCTAAATGAAGAATTGCTGCCTGATAAACAGTGATCACTTTCATTAATAAATGAAGAAAAGATGTTTTCTGAGACTTGCTCTGTTTGCTAGGATTTGCATGTCACTAGCGATTTTTGAACTTCCAAGTCTCCATGTACCTGGAAAATTAAATTAATAGTACAAATTACATGCATGTTTAAAAATTTGTACTAGTACTTAAGTGTCTTCAAGGTCACAACAGTGGATCAGAAGATAAACCTGTACAGCATCTACAAAGAAAGGAGCAATTTTTGTTTGTTTCAGAATTACCATGTTCCCCTCATACAGTAGTTGAGAGGAATAGTTCTGCTTCATCAAATAAGAGGCTTTTGTAAAACAAAAATAGCAAACAGAATGAAACAATAGTAATTAGAAATTGAATAATGTCTTGATTGATGTTATGGGATCATATTTTTGTTCTAAATTTGAAATTAGTTTCAATATGTTAGTCTTCAATGTAAGACTGAAAAGGTTGTCAAGCATTGGAACAGGCTGCCCAGGGAAATGGTGGAGTCACCATCACGGGAAGTATTTAGAAGACATGTAAATGTGGTGCTCAGGGACATGGCTTAGTGGTGGACTTGGCAGTGTTAGGTTAATGGTTGGACTCAATGATCTTAAAGGTCCTTTCCAACCTAAACGATTCTATGATTGTATGATAGAAGCTCCCTGAGTTGTTGAGAGTTCCCATTGTGTCCAAGTTCTCTTCCCTTTGTATAACCTTATATTTTTTTTTTAAATGGAGCTCCAATACCATGAATCCATGTTGGGAGACTTTTTAAATATATTAGGTTTATCAGGGAGGCACAGTGTGGGGCAAACTTGATATTTTTTTTTTATAAAATCTACTAATGTGTCCAGCATAATACATAAATTGCATCTTCAGGCTAATTGCAGGCAAAGTGCACTCATTTTACTGAGTACTGATAAGGACTTTCACAGAGTAAAAAATACAAGGGTACCAGAGTAAGAAGTACAAGAAAGAACTGCAAAGTATTTTGCCTTACGTACTTTTCAGCTTAGAAGATTCCTGATGTTACCACCAAAAAGAGCCACGTTGTTGGTACTTGTTTTATAATGTCTGGTATTATTAGTTCCATTGCTCTTTCTTAGGAAGGCTTTCTACATGACCATTAGGCATTTACTGGAAAGTAGTATTACAACTAGAAATATTAGATATTTTCCATTGAGTTTTAATTATGGAGACAGCTTTTTTTGTATGTCATAAACTAGAATGTTCATTTTAAATTGTTTGTTAATAACAGTTTGGAATAGCTTTTTATGTAGCTTTGCAGTAGGAATAGATATTTCATCCTTCAGATGGATTTTACTGTTACTTATCTTTTTAGCATGAAAAGGGTGGGAGAGGTATAGGGAATCATTTGGAAGCTGTGAACTTGAAGAGATTCAAGCGTACAAAATGCGTAGAAAGCTTGAGTAAATGTCTTCAATTCTCCTGTTCACCTGTTGAGCACTGTAGAATGTTTTTAGCTGTTTTAGCTTACCAATTAGATTTCCCTTGGGGGCGAGGGAGGACCCCACACCAAAATGCATTCACACTTACTCTCCTCATTTCCTGTGAAGGAATGTGTACAGCTTGGGACATGTGTTAGCAGGACATAGAGAAAATAAGCTAGACTCAGTAGACTCTTAACTGACTAGTGAAATGGAAACTCTTTTTGTCTGATGGGATATGGAAGATGAGAAATGACATGGTTCTTACCACCAAAGTTTATGAAGCATAAAAGCTTTACATAAATAAAACAACTGTTTGTAGTCAAATATTCTATGCAGTTAATGTCAATATTAGGGCTGCATTTAACAGAACTTTCGCTATTTGCTGTTCATACAGTTGAAAGTGTTCTGTGAAAACAGACTTAAAAGGTATTGGATGAACTAGAACATTAAAATGACTATAGAAGTCTTAATCATTCAGACTTTAAAAATCTGATTTGCACTATCTGGGATAACTGCCTTAGTGTATTTTCAGCTGTGCTTTAACTGTCTTAGTATTACTTGCACGTTGGCACAGATGCAGTCTCCAAGCTAGTGAAGCAAGGCTGGAGCAAGGTATAATGCACAAATGAAGACAGTGTGGATGGGAAAGACAGAAGTTCATAACAGCAGTGGAATATATGCTGATTTTTTTGAAATAAACTTAAATGTGTAAAGTGATTCCATATTAAGACTGGGCTTTAGAACAACAACCCAAAAAAAAAGAGAGAGAGAGAGAGAGAGAAAATGAACTCTTCTGGGAATGACTTATTCATTATAACTCCTAACTCCTTTTAATGAAGGGTGTTCCAGTCAGGGTTGAAGTGGGACCACGAGACATGAAGAGCCAGCAGTTTGTAGCTGTTAGAAGAGACACAGGACAGAAGCTGACCTTTTCTGAACATGAAGCAGAAGACAGACTGAGGCAGATTTTGGAGGAGATTCATGCTAACCTTTACAACAGGTAAACTGTGAGGTACAGTAAATGTCTGTGCTAATCACAGACATACTTTACCTGTCAGAAGAATTTCTCACATTATTGGTTCATCTGTGCAGAAAGACAGGTTAGGCCCATCTTTCTGTTTGTGATATTTGTTTTTTCTGCCTCTGAAACTTGTTCACATACAGTGATAGAAGTTTCCTATTGTGCTTATGAAATGGAATGTTAAAGGTTATGGACTTATTTCAAAAAAATGCTTCTGTGAATTTATGTAAAGTATTAATAAATAAATGCACAGTAAATAGTTCATGGGATAATAATGCACAGGATTCATTCCTGAAAGATACTTTTGGTAAGGAATTTTGAAAGATACAGAGTTGTCCAAGAAACTTCAGTAGTTGAAGTTCCATGTTCAGAAGTGTATTTTAAGACCCTATGTCCTATTGACTTTCATCGTATTGTTTTCTTATAAGCAATCAAATACTTTTGGAACTGTTATTTGCACTTACTGCATATGCCAAATCCCTTGCATGTCTGTCATTGCAAATTGTTTGTAAGGACACTGAAAAAGAACATGGTGCTGATCCAGCACCATGGCAGATGAGTTTTCCTACTTTCTTCTGTGGTGATCAAAGTTGCTTACAAGCAGAATATTTTTACGTAGTTAAAAAAACATTTTGCTATTTAGATTTAGAACATAATTAAAAAAGAAAAATCTACATCTGTAGTACTTACCTGTTTCTATCTACGGCTGGTCAGTGTTGAACTAACATGCACAACGGTGTGAATTAACATGGTAAAATGTGCAACAACCTGGAGAACAGCCCACTGGCAATTAATCAAAATTTTATCTCTTTGAGGGCAGAAGTGGTAGAAGGACATAACCTGATTAGGAAGATTCAAATTAATATATAGCTTCTCTTCATGTAACCTTCTGTTTTGACTGACTCTGAAAACTTAGTTCATTTGGCCAGTGAGGTTATGTGCATAAATCTTCCCTGACTGAATTCTTTTTTCCTTTTCTTAGAGCTTCTGAGGACCTAAAAAGTCATATGGTGGTGGCCAATACTATGGAGGACTTTCAAAAAGAGCTTGATTCAGGAAAGGTAATGAAATCTACTTCATTCTATCCCACACGCTTTCTGTCCCTTACAAATAATCAGGGGCTAGAAATTTCAAAGCTACGTTTACTTACATATAAATACTGTTGTGGTTTTTATGGAACTCTCCCCTCACAAGCAGATGAAGCCTCTCCTGTAGAGCTGCACAAAAATGAATTAACTTTCTCAAAATTTGTGATATACGTTGCTTTCTTCTTTTGCTAAAATACCATATTTACTAAATATGGTGTTTCAGGCTACCACCATTGAAAATTTAGTCCTGTGCTAGGGGTGACAGGGTATCTTGAAGTGACTTACAATGCTGCAGTTTGGTAATTTGCACTTAAAGTGTTACATTTTTATCAGAAAGTGCTTTTCAGAGAGACTAATGTAAACATTTTATTCATTTTAAGATAAACTCACTGTCACTATTCTAATGCAAACAGTGAAAAACAGTGGTCAAATCTCATAATAAGGTCCAAGTAAGAGTTTAAAGTACATGCTGTTTACGTCAAAGAAGTTTTGCCTTTGTGACCTGAGTAGAAGCCATTGGGTTCATTGAGAATTACTGCAAGTCGGAAACCTCTGTGGGCTGATAGTAAGAATAACCCATAATGTGGATGATTGAGCTCTACTGATCTAGAGATCTGTGAAAAATGTAAAGTTCTGGCAAAGCATTTGAAGTTTACATGAGAGATTAAGTCTTCAGTAGAGAATTGAGCTGCTGCTTCTTTTTCAGAGATCCACTGACAGAAGTTCTTAACCCTGAAATTCTGTCACGAACCTCAGCTTGTGAAATTGTTCATATATTTCGATTAATGTGTAGTAGGATCCCAAGGATCAATCATTAGGGCTGTGTATTTTATAAAAAGAGATCAGGGGTTTTTGTGTACCAGTTAGACCTAATCTGAAAATTTCAAAATTTCTGATGGAAAATGCACAAGTGCCAAGAATTCATAGTACTTTTGTTAACTTCAAAAATAGTTTTAAGTTATTCTTGGTTAGGCTTGACCTTCCATCACACTCATTTGTTGCATTTCTATTGCACTTAAATTCAATTTATAACAAGACTTAAAGGAATAGTTATGAACTTCAGAGGAGGGACTGGTTTAGCATGCTTATGAAGTTGAGGATACAGAGTTGTTAGACATTCTGTGCATAGGTACTAGAATAGTAGTACTGCCTTATTTTCCTCTACAAAACTAAATACAAGTGTGAAATACTCTGTTTCCAAACAGCTTTGAGCTCTTCCTACTGACTGCAAAATATAATTTCCTTGGTGCAAGTGTCTCTAAAGCATCTGATGATTCTGGTGATAGATTGAAAAAACAAAAATTGTTAGTCTTTGCTTAATAAATAATTGTGCCTCTGCATAGATGTTCAACTAGTACTGCTGCTCTCGTGTACTGTGATTTCAAGATGTGCCATCATGTATCTTCCACTTCTGAATGAAACAAGCACTCTGAAACTATGCTTGACTGTCTTTAAGACAAAGTAACAGTCGAGGAAGACATAAGCTTTCAAAAAAATCTTGAGACGCAGTAAACTTGTTTGTAAAAATAAACTAAAATGGGGAGTCAAGCTCATTCCAGGAGCAGGA